AATGTCCTTACTTCTGGAATTTCACCTGAAGAACTGAACTTAATACATGTGTTGGCCACCCTGTCTTCTTGTATTTCTTTAACAGACAATGGAGCTGAGATATTGCTTACCATTGTATTTTCTTTATCTTGCAATTGTTCTCCGTGTTCTTCGCTTGCAAGTTTACAAGATTCTGAAAATATTTACAAGAACTAACAAAATTAGTACTTGTTACTAATTTTTGACTAAAACTAACATGTATAAGATCAAACAAAACTCCGTCTAACCTTTTGCAACTGTCAAGATCATGTCAATTAAATCATTATCTTGACTAGCATTATTTTGACTTCCAAAATTGTCTCTAAGAGAGAGAGGTGTAGAGATATCATATGTTCCTTCTATACATCTACAAATAATCTCACTTATGCTTGTTCCTTGGGTATTTGTTATGTCTTGAGATTGTCCTCCTCTTCTCTCTTATGAAATTTCCTCATCTTGATGTTCCACTCCATCTTCCTTTCTTTTAATTTGCTCAGCAAGCAAAACTACAATAATTAAGAAGGGGAAAATTTATAAATCATGCCAGAATGTGGCATTGTTGAGAGTAAACTGGGTAAAAATTTACAATCAGATATTCCTGGCAAAATTGGTGCAGAACTTTTCTAACTCAAACAATGTACAATAATTGTGGCTTCTCTTAACTGTTGAACTGCAAGTCAGTAGTAGAATCAGATATTCCTCAACCATAATTGTGGCTTCTCTTAACTGCCCAACACTTGTGCAGAATTTCTGACTCTCAAATCCACACACAAAAATCTCAGTAGCAAGACATCAATGGAAAACCAGTTACGAGTTTCACTAGCTAGGATTCAGTCGTCGAACAAGGTTTCTAAAGACTTCAAATAAACTTCAGGATATCAACTCGAATACCAAAGTTTCAGCTTCAATACATACAGAGAAATCAACTTAACTCAACAGACCTTAAACCAAAAATCTCAGTCAGTTGAAACAAAGAAGAAATTCACCAGTTAGAAATATATAAACACTCCCATAAAATCCAAACCAATATCCAATGCAACTGAAAGAACATAACTATACTTCTGCCACCATTTCTTTTTGTATCATATGTTCAAAATAATCTAATTTTTCAAAGAAAGAACTTAATACCTATGTTGTTCACCCTATCTTCTGTTATTTCTTTAAGAACTTACGGAGTTGAGATATCGTATGTTCCTTCAGCATATTTATCTTGACATTGCACTCCATCTTCTTTCCTTGCAGCTTCAGAAGATTCTGTAATATTTACAATTAATACTTGTTACTAATAGTTTACTGAAACTAACATACATCAGATCATCAAAATTTCATCTAACCTTGATTAGCATTATTTTGATTTCTAAATTTGTCTTTAAGGGAGAGAGGTGTAGATAAATCGTATGTTCCTTCTACACATTTGCATAGAATCTTACTTATACTTATTCCCAATGGATTTTCTACATCCTGAGATTGCACTCCAGATTTATAAATTATTTCTATTACACTTCTCTTTTTTGGATTTTTCTGATCTTGACATTCCACTCCATTTTGAAATTTCACTCCATCATAAGATTCTACACACATTTGTAAGCGCAAAACATTTAATATTTATTACACTATTGAATATAAATTTACAATGACAACAAAATCAAAAACTCTATCTAACCTTTCCCAATTCCGATGCCCATATCAGTTTCATCTTCTAGATGTACATCTCTATAAAAGCTTTCATAACAATCTTCTAGATGCACATATGTATCGTCACATTGAACATCAACTACATCTTTGCTAATTGGAACACTATGTTCTCTCTCTTTGTTCCTTTCATGAGGTTTCTCAAGAAGCTTCAATAAAGTATCAACCTTTGACTCTAGGTTTTTCTTTAAAGCCTGTGAGATAGTATTTAAAATAAGAATCGGAATGTTAGCTGCTTATAAGTTAAGGACACTTAGTCCTTAACTTAGAGTTGCAAGCACAGAAATTAAGGACAGGTAGTCTTGAACTTAGAGTTACAAGTTCAAAAAATAAGGACATGTAGTCCTGAACTTAGAGTTACAAGTTCAAAAATTAAGGACAAGTAGTCCTAAACTTAGAGTTACAAGCTCAAAAATTAAGGACATGTAGTCCTAACCTTAGAGTTACAAGTTCAAAAATTAAGGACACTTAGTCCTGAACTTAGAGTTACAAGCTCAAAAATTAAGGACACTTAGTCCTGAACTTAGAATTACAAGCACAGAAATTAAGGACATCTTGTCCTGAATTTAAATTTAGAAGCTAAAAAATTAAACACATGTCCTTTTGAATCTTTTTTTCTGATAAAGTTATTTTTTGATGTATTCTAACACTTTCTGCCTGCAAATCCTTTTTCAACTTCTCTGATAATCTCTGAATCAAAAACCATAAAAATAAAAAAGTTTCTTAAGCAAAAATAAGCAAATAAAAATCTAATGGTATTCAAAGACAAAAAAACTTACATTAATAATTTCTTTAAGCAAGCCTTCATCAAATTGTGTTGAAGGCATTGAACTTTGATCTTGAGATAATTGCACATGCACACTAGCGGGCTCTACATCTTCTTCAGAAGAAACAAATGGTACTATCTCGAGCAACTGAAATACCTATTATATAGGGGAGGGGGGGAGTAAGTATTTAGAAACAAAAAGATAGCTAGTAATCCTATTAACTTACTATTTTCATTATGAAAGTACTTTTTACATAGGTTGTCATAATGCAGAGATTTCATATCTGAATAACATAGCATCCGAGGGAACTCACATTCTCTGAAGTTCACAAACGATTTTTATTGGAAAACTAGAAATACTTCCATATTCCAAATACAGAAGGCGAAAGGGAAGCCAAGTATAGTATGACTGTCCTTCTCTTTATCTTTCTCTTTCTCTGTCTCTTTCTCATTCTCATTGTGTGAAGTATTTTGTTTGAGCTTCAAGCAACTCTTCAATGATTTGAGTAACTTTTAATAACAAAGAGAGCCCTAATTGAAAGAAGAGCAGAGTTTATTATCATCAATGATTTTCATTACCCACTCATACACATTCCAAATCTTGCGCTTACCCACCAACTTCACCGCATCGTCGTCGCTGCCTACAAATGATGCAGTTGTACCAGATGGGCGACTAGTAATAAAATACCACAAATTGCCTAACTTAATTCTATCATTTCCAGGGAAGTAGACTTTAGAAAGTCTATTAGCTCTTTCACTCAAAAAGTTGAAGTCTACTGAAGAAAAATATTTCAACCCAGTAATTATCTGGAAGGCATCACGTGTAAACTTCATTTCATGATCAAAAACCTTGAATGTCATTGAATTCGTATAATTTCTTACAATTTCAGAAAGCAACACACAATGAATAAGTTTGCCAAAGAATTTCACACCTTCCAATCGAAAAAGTTTCTGAAAATACCATCTCTCAACTTCTTCCATTGCTTGTTCGACAAGAAACTTTTTATTGTTCCGTTACACTGAAAATCTCTTTTCCATTAGCTCATCAAATTACGCCAATCATCAAACTCGAAAAAACGATCTCCTTCCATTAGCACACTACAAAGAAGGAAATAGAAAGTAAACATTAGGACTATTTTTCTGAAATGTCCTGAATATTTAAACTAAAAAAACTAAAATTCAGAACCTAATTAGATGCATCTTTCATAGAAGCACAGTTAAGAATATAAGTATTTAGCAAATTTCTAAACACACTTAGAATACTAATTTATCTTTAGAAAAACAGTTAGCCAAAATATTTTCAATGACTGGACTACTCTGATTGCTTATTACATAATCAATATATTGATTGAACCACAAACACAATTCAATGCCAAAAAGTTCTCAATAACTTTCTAATATCATAGCAACTAAATTCGACAGAAAGTGAAAGAGCAACATGTATAAACCGGCTGCTATATTTTTTTGGAAAAAAATAAAGAGAAGAGTGTCATACACAATAGTAATAGTATGAGAATTAAGCAATCTGTTTATTGTACAATCAGTAAGTGAAACCTCATTTGCTAGGAGTCATATGTAGGTACAATTAAAACACAAACTATAATAACCAAACAACTTACTACTATTCATAGAACTAGTACTACTGCTTTTATCAGTTATCACATTCACCAACAGTTAACACATTGCTAAAAATCTCCTTAAATTCTGTGACTGTCAACGAAGCTGATAACATGTGACTGTCACATTCACCAACAGTTATAAGCGTGAACTTCCATCAACGGAGCTGATAGCATGTGATTGTCAGTCCACCTTAGTTTAAGCAAATTAAATTCTACTAATTTTCTATCGAAAAATCCCCTTCTTATTCCTCAGCGAATCAAGTTATAATCATTATTTTGGACATTTTTATTTTTACTGCTAAAACACACATACTTGATCACAAACACAGCATTATGACCCAATTATTCATAATTGGGTGAGATATAAGGTAAATGTTATCGTTGAATTAGAGATATACAAAAAGAAAAATACATAAAAGCAAAATAGAAAACATACAATTCGATTCATGAAAAACGTCGAGAAGTTCGCTGCAGAGAAGATGACAAAGGAGTACAGATGAAGTTGGACAAAGGATGTGAGCTCACGATTAAAGCCAGTGCTGACACAGCTGCAGTCTTCGGGACTGAAATTCCTCCTGTAATCTGGCTTATCTTCCTTCCAAGAATGAAATTTAATGTATGAGATTTGCAGCAGAAAAGATAACAAAGGAGCACAAGACTTACTGCATGTAGGTGGAGAAGTAACGAGATGGAGTTCTGTAGAGAAGCGAGAGTTTTGAACTTTTGATAAAGGATTTGAAAAAGAAAAGATATAGAAAAAAGGATAAAAACGTCTTTTCGTATTAATTTTAATAAAAAAATAACTATATTTACTCCACATTAAAATTGATAGATAAAAAATAAATAACACTTTAAAAGATGGCTACCCATGCATTTTCTACTTTAGGTTTTTACTTGCACAACAATCGAGGCCCTCTCTAAAACCCCTCAATCTTCTTCTTCTCCTCTCTTAAACCCTAATTAAAATCTCACTCTCTCTCTCTCTCTTTTCTACACACAACAATGGGTAGTAGCCAAGCTGCAGTTTCATTCCTCACAAACCTAGCCCGAGCCGCTTTCAGCCTAGGCCTCGGGGGCGCAGTTCTCAATTCCTCCCTTTACACCGTCGACGGCGGCCAACGCGCCGTTCTCTTCGACCGTTTCCGTGGAGTCATCGACGAAACCGTCGGTGAAGGCACCCACTTTTTAATCCCATGGCTACAAAAGCCCTTCATCTTCGATATCCGTACCAGGCCCCACACTTTCTCCTCAATCTCCGGAACGAAAGATCTCCAGATGGTTAACCTCACGCTCCGTATCCTCTCTCGCCCTCAAGTCTCCCGCCTCCCCGACATTTTCAAAACCTTAGGTACCGAATATGACGAAAAGGTCCTCCCTTCGATCGGTAACGAGGTGCTCAAAGCCGTCGTGGCTCAATTCAACGCTGATCAGCTCCTCACGGAGCGTCCACAAGTCTCCGCTCTCGTTCGTGAGAGCCTGATCCGACGCGCCAAGGATTTCAACATCGAGCTCGATGATGTGGCGATCACGCACTTGTCGTATGGAGCTGAGTTTTCGAAAGCTGTGGAGCAGAAGCAGGTGGCTCAGCAGGAGGCTGAGAGGTCGAAATTCGTGGTGATGAAGGCTGAGCAAGAGAGGAGGGCGGCGATTATTAGGGCTGAAGGAGAGAGCGAATCAGCTAAGCTGATTTCGGATGCTACTGCGGCTGCTGGAATGGGTTTGATTGAGTTGAGAAAGATAGAGGCTTCGAGAGAAATTGCTGGGACTTTGGCTAAGACTCCTAATGTTGTTTACTTGCCTAAGCAACAGAATATGCTTCTCGGACTCAATCGTTGAGTAGGTAATTAAAATGCTTGTTTATGTATTTATCTTTTGGGAAAATCTTATGTTCATATTTTGATTGTTTTTTGTTTAATTTCATTGAGTTTGTTATGGGACTCTTAACTTATCCCAAAATTTATAAGAGCACACGGTCTTGTAGAAGAATAATCAAATTTTCATCACTTAGGGCAAATTAATAAACCACTCGACCCATAATTTTTGTAAGGTTTATTTTCTTTGAGGATTAGTTTTGCCTTCTTTTAATGTTTACTCCGGATTTAGAATAATTTGCTTTTAGTGAAAATAAATTGTTAGATACTTAAAAAATTATAGGAAACATGGTTGATTACGAAGTTTGCCATATATTGGTGCTACTTAAAATTATAAAAAGTGCTCATGGTAATACTTAAAATGCTTAGCCAAGGATCACATTCTTTGACTCTTGGGAGTAAAAAGGGTATGTCATGGGACAGAAGGTGTAATGAATTGGAAAGTCAGGACACTAGTTAAAAGTAGTGGAACACAGAGATTAGAATGGAGAGTAAATTAGGAGAACCTGGTCATGTTTCAAAGGGTCCGTCTTTTCTTTAAGACAGTATATCTAGATAGAAAGTTCATTATTTCATCATACTGAGGCAGCATTGCATGTCATTCACCTTTTGAGGGGATATCCTCGAGCTGGGTTCGCATATCGGTCTGATATTGTGTTGGATCCGCTCATATTCAAACAAGTAGGCATACCTGCTTATCCATATTTGAAAGCTGTGTTACATGGACTTTGGCTACGGATACGTAACCAATACAAGTGTATGTGAGCATCTGAAATGGGTGCATAGACCTTTTTGCTTACTTATTGAAGTACCCATAGCATGGAAAAGTTATAGTTTGGTTAATGGCTAATCCTCAGCAGTTGTAGAACGTCCTGAATTGAGTGTGGGAAGGTAGAGTTCTGGTGCAACCAGGATTATGGGATACTTCTGGGCCTTTTCTTTGCTAACCCCCAATACCAAAGTTAATTTCCCAGTGATACAGACACCAAATAAGATCAAGTTGAAGAAATCTATTTTTGGCAGATAAGGCTCAACAAAAGTAACAAGGGAATGTGGAGTTGGGTGGGGATTGTTGAGAATGTGTCATTTTTTTGTCCCAATTGCTTGAGTATCAATTACGAAAATAGAATCCACACTAAATTGAAACCCTGAAAGAATGTGTCATGTTTAGTTTGTGGTGATTGTTAAGAATGTTGGGTGGTCATGTTGAGAATTGTACTCTTTACAGTATGGTTTATAGTTATTTAGAGTTTTGAGACAATGAAACATTGAATGGAACAACCTTGTATAACATGTTGAAAGGCTATTACACCAGTCTCTCAAGGTTCTTTGATGAACTAGTTTCTACTTCCAGAATTTTTCTTGGTTGTGTGCCAAACAAGGTTTGCATCTAATTTGTCACATTTTGCGAAGCTCCATTGTATTTTTAAACCTTATTAAACTAGCAAGTTCCTCAGAGAGACTGGAGATAACTTTCATTCAACTTGGCGACTTGCTATATGCTTAGGAGTATTTGTATGTTCAACAAACCTGCTGTTTCTGTGCGACCTTGGAGTTCTCCTATGGGAGGTACTCGATCTCTCTTCTCTGTTCATGTTCTTTGCTCTGGTGGTTATCAAGATTTGTTTACTTTCTGGTGATCTTATTGTTGTAAATTACTAAAGAATTATTCAATATTACTGATCAAAAAAGAAAATTATTCAATATTAGCTATCGGCTATAGATCCTAATGGTTGGATACTAAGATATCAATCATAGCCTAACATGTGTGGATTCAAGAGATGGGGCCTACCAGCTTTTAAAAGTTGAAGCTTTTCATGAACACTTGCATCAACTGCCGAAATATGACCCAATTTTTTGATCTTGTTGTTTCATTTGCTCTTATTACTGAATTGAGGTATTATTTGTTTTTTTGAACTATGCTAGCAATTTGAGGCTATTGAAAAACCTGTATTAGATGGTGGGGTTTTATCGTGGGTTTAAGACCAATGCTTTTGCTTGCTTCCTCAAATGAAGCAGAATGTTTCATTTCATTCTACCTAATCCTCTGGAAATGGTGCGCTTTATTTGGTTAAATACTTGCCTATCTTTTGCTTGTTGCCTTGTGCAACGTTTAATGTGGTTTTTGTTCTCTTTCAGGTGGACTCTTTAATGGTGGTGTATTTTGCTGTTATTCTTGGTAACTTCTGCAGCCTCTTTTTACCAGTCTTTTTCCGGTTCAAAGATGGACAGCATTGATTAATCCTGGATAGCTTATGTTAGCATCGAGCGAAGAAACCAGGAACATTGAGCATGGAGCATGTTTCTACTTGGCTCCCTTTATGATATATGCAATAGTGTTTATTTAGACAATCTCATCACTCTTCTCCACAGCTTACCCTATTTGCTAACTTACTTTAAATAATTTTCATGTCATGCGACATTTTGAAGAGCCTAATGGCTCTTGCACGTGAATCTCCGAATAAAAAATCAGTATTTTCTTGCTTTACGTTTATCCCAGGTCTGAGTTAATTCTTTGAAGTCGGCATGGTTTTTGCAGCGAAACTTATTAGTTCTTGAGTTTCTGCAGAAAGTATTTGTTTGCTCAAACATAGCTTGCAAAAACTAAAAAAAGAACTTTGCGGACTTTGTTCTGCATTTTTTTTAAATAAACACCATGAAATAAAAATATTCCTAAAGATATGGGTAATACTAACAAGTCCAGTATGCTTCCCGCAAGTCTAATTTTCCAATTTAGCATGCAACTAATCTAATTCTTGTTTGATCCTTGTTAAGCTAAATTTGATTGTTATACTCAGTTTTCATATGAGCATTCTGTAAATCAAGATTGTCTTTTCACTAAATCAAAAAGCTTTCAACAAGTTCATCAATCGATTCAACCATTTTTTATCATAGAACGTTACTTAACCTCTCTTACCAAATCAAGATATGGGACCTCATAAAATCATTTTCCATGTGTTAAGATATTGAAAACGGGGAAGAAAATACTTCATATATAAAAAGAAAAAAAAAATGGGAAAGCAAATAAAACTCACAACTTTAATCCAACAACAATGATCGAACTTACACTCCAGAAACAAAAAAAAAAAAATGGTCAAACCACTTTTATCACAAGTTTCATGCCTTAGTATGAATTCGGAAGAGGAAGAAAGAAGGTCAATACCCAAAAAAAAAAAAAGTGAATGAGACAGTTACCCACAAAATTAAAATTATTTACCCTTACCTACCCATTTATTTTTCTACCCATCAAACTAATTACATTTTACATAGTAGTTTTTGTGGGGAATTTTCCCCAATTCTTTTTTATTTCTATGATTCTTTTGTTTTTTCTTTTTTTCTTTCTTTTCTCCTTTTCTTTTTTCTCGTTTTCTTCTTATTTTTTTCTTTTTATATTTAATTTATTTATTTTTGTCCAAATCGTATTATTGTTATTTTTACCATAACTTATTTCACACTCAAATTTGACTCCTTTATTTTTTTCTTTTTATTTATTTTCTTTATTTCTTGTTCCTTTTCTAATTCCACGTGATTGCCATGCAAACCTTGATCTCCTTCCGTACAAATATCAGTATACACTCTACCATTAGCAGTAACACAACCAGTTATGGAGCAAGAAAACATAATATACGACCACCAAATCTCCATATATACTAGTTAGAATAGAAATGATAATAAAATATTAAAAAATGCAATAAAAATATAAGTAGCAAAAAAGACTTCTAGTACCATATGATACCAATATGGTATACATGTATACCAACAAAGTATATGATTGCTCTAGAATATTGCTACAACTATCTGTGACTATACTACTGAACCAAAACATCAAAGGATGCAATAAAAGTATGAGAAAATTACATGCTCACATTGCAAGCTAAATATTCGCAAAGCTATTTGCTCATTCCGCATAGTAACATGGTATATAATTGTATGGGATCGTTCCAACAATTGCCTATAACTATAAAAACTATTACAAAATACACATAATCTATGTCCATCGGCACACAAAAATTCCAGCACTGCAAATCATGTTTATATAAATAATTTCAGAATAGAATTCACTTAAAAATGTAGCTAAAACAACCAAAAAATGTTCAAACTACCATATGATACCAATATGACCTATAACTATACCAACACGGTATACAGTTTTACTTGTTAATTCCCAGCAACTATATGACTATACTACTATTACATAATACACATACATATAGAGAAAAATAAAAAATAGTGTACCACATATTAATATAATAAAATATTTCAAGATATTGTACTATATTACTATTATTAAAGAAAAATCAAATAGTGTACCAATTAAATGCAGTTAATACAACCAAAAAAGGATTCAACTAACATATGATATCAATATAGTATATAGCTATACTAATAGGGTATATAGTTGTACGGGGTCATTCCAACAACTGCATATAACTATAAAAACTATTACATAATACACAAAATCTATGTCCATAGGTACAAGAAAATCCAACACAACAAAACATGATCATATAAACTATTTCAGAATAGAATTCACTTAAAAATGCAGCCAAAACAATCAAAAAATATTTCAACTACCATATGATACCAATATGACATATAATTATACCAATAGGGTATATAGTTCTATCAATTAATTTCATGCAACTATATATGACTATACTACAATTATATAATACACATGCATAAAGAGAAAAATCAAAAAATAGTGTACCACATATTAATATAATAATATATTTTAAGATATTGTACTATAATACTATTATATAAACCAAACGCATAAAGAAAAAATCAAAATGATTACATAATACACATGCATAAAGGAAAATTAAAAAAAATCAAGATATTGTACTATTCTACTATTACTAAAGAAAAATCAAATAGTGTACCAATTAAATGTAACTAATACAACCAAAAAAAGTTCCAACTAACATATGATACCAGTATAGTATATAGCTATGCCAACAGGGGTATACTGTTGTACGCAAAGAGTTTAAAAAAGATTTTTTTAATTCAATTATTAAACACTCATTAGTCCTCTATAATACCCACATGATATATATCATATGACGTTAGGATATCTTAGAGGACTGGTTCACTCCTTCAAAAAATACTTTAGCTTAAATTTAATATTTTAATTTTTATAATATTCTTAGAAAGTTTTACTTGTGAAAAAAATTTAAAAAATAGATTCATATTTTAGATATAAATATAAAGTATCTTTTGTGAAGTTCATACTGATTTGCTTAGCTTATCATCGAACCATATCAAATTTCAGGCACCGAAATCACAATCAAATTTTGAAAAATGACTCGAACAATGATAAAGAGTTACGAGAAAATATGAAATTTGTAGGGAGGGAGAGAGTGTTTTGTGGTGATGAAAGGCATTCAATAGGTGATGTCACACCTCTTTTTTCCCGAGGGATAGGGGAGATTTTTCAATTAAAGTGATATTAATCGAAATGAGATTATTTATTTAATTCAAAATCGCCACTTGGAATAATTGTTATGGTGTCCCAAGTCACCGATTTATTTTAAAATCCCAAATCGAGAAAATTGACTCTTATTTATGGTCCGCGAATACAGAAGACCGGATAAAAAATTTTGTTAACCCGGGAGAAGGTGTGAGACACTCCCGAGTTCCGTGGTTTTAGCACGATCTCTTAACAATTAATATCTGGCTCAATTATCTGATTTATTACATGTCTACAACCTATTCTGCATTTTTACTTTTTAACCGCTTTTAATTATTTTTAGCACTTTTAGTATTTATGAAATTTATTTAAACAAGTCGCGCACTTGTCGTTTTTGCACACATCACAAATCACGCCGCATGAAACGCACCCGCAATATACGAAATATTTATTTTATTATTATTTGAAGTTGTGGTCAAGTCGAGTGAACGCGCACTTGAGTTGGGATTTACATATCATGACCATGCCACGGGAACCGTACTCATAGTCACGATGATTTATTTAAACGCGCCTAAAGCAGGTTACGATGTTTATAAGTTGTTTACTCAAACTATTTTGAAATTGTTGTAAGGTTATGAATTATGGAATTATTTGTGGAAGAATTGAATTTATTATTTATAGAAATGTGGGCTAGCTTAGAGAAAGATGGGCCAGCTATGTTATTTATTACTTTGGGTCTGATGAGACTAAATCTTTTTGCCTAAAATTCTTTTTTCTCCAAAAGCCCAAAAATCAATTTCCTTAGAAACATGCCCCAAGCAAATTATTCAACTCAATATCCCATATTCTATATATTTCTTAAACAAAACTAATGACACCACAATCTCATGAATAAAATTAGTAAACAAGCCAAATTACAGTGATTCAATAGACTCTTTATCCGGTTAAATCAACCTAGAACAAAACTTTGCAACTCTAAAATTAACATCATGGTCCAATAAACATATGAACAAGGAAACAATCAGATTCAAATGATCCAAATATCAATAGAGTGAACTACTACTTCATGCTACCCAATAATCACACCGACAGACAAGAAGGTAAATGGACAAAATAATCAGTGAAGAAAGGGAAACAAACAGACCTTTGAAATAAATTAACAGAGTTAAAATTACAAGAGAGCTAAACAATTCGACGAGTGTTGATTGGAGCTTTCACCGGCCACGGAACCTCGAACGAAAAATCGCGACTTGCAACCCCGATCGACCTTGCAAAACCGGTGATTTAGTGTCTTGTTTTTGCTAGGTTTAAAGTTGTTTTTGAGGGGTGCTTTTGCTGGATTTTTCGAAAGAAAGAATGACACGAGTAGAAATTCCCTTATCATAGAGGAAGAAAAATAAATTTCTCTCAATTTCCTCCCCTCTATTTTTTTTTCTTTCTCACATTTCTCTTCTATTTATAGAAACATTTTCGGAATTTGTTCAAATTTTGTTTTTTAATTATTTTATTATTTTTTAATTAAAAAGAATTCCCATTTCCCATTTTTCTTATTTTAAAAACAAAATAATTTCCCACTTTCCTTTACTTTTATTTTTTAATTTCTCACTTTTTTACTTTTATTATATTTAAATTCCCACTTTTTTTACTTATTTATTTATTTTTTATTTTCAACTTTTTTTTATTTTCCACTCTTTTTTACTTTTTTAAAACAAAAAAAACATTTCAGCAAACTTTTCCTATTTTTTATTCAAATCCGAAATATTTTTAAAAGTAATTTTTTTTTCCGGGTTTTTAATTTATTTTATTTTAAAATAAAGATAAAGATAAAAATAAAAATAATATTAATAGTAATAATTGACCTTTTAAATTATTTTTAAATTTTACCATATATATAAAATAAATGTCACAAAGCTAAAAATATATATATTAAATTTCTAAAAATATTTACACAGTAGAAGATGATAAAAATTCAAATATAATCAAAAATTAGGTACTCACAGGTGATAATTTCATTCAACAAGAGAAAATTAAACTACATGCACGTAGTGAGTTAATTGAATCGTAATTTGTACATATTGAGC